AAAAAGACCAAAAAAAAAAAAAAAATTGATTTGTTATATATATTTGTGTTTTGCTTGCATGATGTAAGTATACCCATGTGTTCAGTGTCCATAGAAGCCAGAAGAGGGCATTGGATCCCCTGAATTGGAATTACAGACAGTTGTAAGTTACCATGTGGATGCTGGGACCCAAACCTGGGTCCTCTCCAAGAGCAGCCACTGCTCTTAACCACTGAGCCATCTTTGTGCTCCTAGTTATATAATTTCTTTAGTAAACTGATATAAATATGGTGAGTGCCCTCCTTAGTAATTATTACCTGATGAGCCACCAGCCCCACCACCTTTTATGATTCAGTTTAAAATGAGCCACCCAGGTACTGGACTCAAGCTGGCCATTTCTTTCCACTTAAGTGACCTAAGTCACCATCATCAGTTTCTGGGCAAACCTGACAGGTCTGGCTGTCTTGGATGCAGCTGCCCAGGCTGGCTGGTTGTCTAAGGAGCAGAACTGCCAAATTCTGCAGTTAGACCAAGAGTGGGGAAAGGAGAGGTCCTGAATGATGAGCCAAATGCTGCTGTTTGCAGGCCCTTGTTTCGGCAGGCACACTGTTTGACACTCAGCTCTGATAACAGCTCCAGCAAAAAAAGCTGCTTGGCTCCAGTTACCAGCCTCAGCTGCAGTTGAGTGCATAGTAAGGCTAGTGTGGATTGCCAGAAACATGCCAAAAAGTCCAAGGCCCAGCCCTGCCCGCAGCGGCCCGTGACCTGGGCCCACCTGCTCTGGTTCCCAGTGAGCAACCTTCCAGTTCTTGTCTAGGCTCCCACCTCTGAGTGAGGAGATTACTCTAAACAAAGCTGAGGGCCCAGCTTAATGGTCCAGAGCATTAGCAGTACCAGTGTTGGTCCCAACCCTCAGCGTGTCCCTGCCCCCACCTGGCAGCAGCCACCCCTGACACCTTGGTGCGGTCACAGGAGAGCCTTACCAGGTGATGATGCATCCCCAACTTGGCACATGCACAACACACTGCCCAGGTGCCCGCCTCCAGGCCTGTGTGCTCCCACAGAGAGGGACTGGGCTGGCCCACACCACTCAGCTGTTCTGGGTAGAAGTCAGAGGCCCAGGAGCCCCTGACCACTGAGAGTCTGGGCTGGGCAGTGGAGTGTGGGCCGTGCCCTTGCAGTGGAGCTCCAACCACGGTGAGTGCCTCCTCCTTGCTACTGCTGCGGTCAGGGCATCTGAAGAGCCAGTGGGCTTCCTGGAGCACAGGATCTAGTTGGTGCCCAGAATGCTTTATAAGAGTACTGCGAGTCGGCTACCCTTGTGGCTCTGCTGGTCGTGGTACTGTGGTGATGTCCCCCAAAGGTCTTGAGGTTACAGGAAGCGCCCCTCGGGTTAAAGCACTTCTCCCAGGTAGCGGTGACACACTGTTCTGCTCAGAGTTTGAGCTGGTCATTTGAGCTGTGAGGTGATCATAGATAGCAGCTGTGGGTGTGGAGCTGGAAGGATGTGGTGTGAACATCACTCACCCTGCTTCACAGGGGCTGCCTCATGGGGTAGCCCTTCCCCTGCTTTGCCCATCATGTTATTCACTCCATCACTAGGTGTTAGGAGCCAAGGGGTCATCACCTCAGTTTGAGCAATGAATAAAAGATGAAGTCAAGAGACCAAGGTACTCATTTACATGTGGATCCATTTTAGAGCTGAGGCAACTGATCATATGAACAGAAAGTCCAAACTAAATCACTACTGGTCCTGATTTCCCCGGGTCTAGTAATGGTGCCAGGGTATGTTAGACATTTAAATACTGAAGCTGCTTTAGTCCCAGGGCCTTCTGAGGGGGGATGTCTTCCACTCCACAGCAGGAAGCAATGACTTGCCCAGTCTACAACAGCCCTTTATTCCTGGCCCAGTGTTTTCCCCAAACCACTTTGACAGCCAAGAATGATCGTGGGAGCTGTCCCTATGGTGTGAATGTGGCCGTGTTCAGGAGCATGCTATCAGTGGTCATGAACTGCAGCTACGGATGCTCTTCCTCATGATTTCCGGAAGATACAGGAAACTTATATGCCAAAAAAGTTTTCCTGGTAAAATTTATCCAAATTCACTTATTTTGGGCCTGGATAAGAGTAAAGATGAAAACTTAGAAAGCAGGACTCCTTTGAAGGGAAGGCCTTTGAATACAGATGTTCTATGGTCCCAAGTTGCAGTCAGAACTAACCATGGCAAGAAGGAAGGCGAGAAGGTGGGCCTAAGGTGGGGGTGAGAGTAAGTCCTCTGTAAATATCTTCTCCACTCCAGCCACCAAAACTATTTAGATCTGAGACCTCAAGTGTTAAGGAGAATGTGACTTCACTATGAAACACAGTGTATCCAGTTTGTAGAAGCAAAGCCGAGGGATTGCAGTCACACAAAATCCAGACAGATTAGAGTATATCATTTCTTTTGAAACGGGAGTTAAAAAGAAAACGGCAACTAAAGCTTATCAGGGTTCCCAGCTTCCCCATTACGCTTTTCAGTAAGGCAGGAATACTTGGGGTGCCGGTCACCGTGAGCAGGATTCTGACTTTTGGGAGGGGTTCACACCCCAAACCCAGGTAGTCCCTCTAATACCTTGCATGTAGCACACAAAATAATCATACTTTGGAGACTTTAAGTACCTAGTAAAGTGCAAGGAAATCTGTGTCTGTAGGACATCTGATTCTGGGGAACACGCATTTGACCAAGTTTGGAGAACTCCAGAATGTTTGGTCACCTGTGATCTGCCTCAGCTGTCATCTCCCGAAGATGCCCTTTGGTTCCTGTGATGAACATCCTGCTGAGTTGGAGGTTAAGTGTGAAGGTTTATGGAGAAAGCAGCTCCAGAGAAATGACGAGCAAATGCCCATCGGATGGGAAGTGGTCACTTCTGAAGAGTCACTGCCTGGGTCAGGGACTGGACATTCCAGGACTAGACCACAGCCTCTTAAGTCTTCAGGAATGGGATCAGCACTAAGAATAGCAGTGAGGTGTTTGCAGATGCAGTGAGGCCTCCTGGGGAGGATGGAGCAGCAGCAAATCACCAAGAGAACAAGGCTGGACCAGCTGCATAACCAAGAGAAGGGCACACTCACTCAGCTGTGGGAAAGTGGCGGGAAAGAGCAATACAACCAGCCCTGACACCTAGGAGACTCATTTTGTTTTCAAACAGTTTTCAACATCATTGTAAGAAAACCCAAATTCAAGTGTGAAATTAAAAATACCACATCCCATTCTATCTTATAGCAGATATGTATGTTTTAAATCAATGGGTATCTTGTAAAAGTCAATTATATATTCTTGCCCCAAAGTAAACCTCAATAAAATGTTAATAGGAAGTGTCCAAGCTACATACTATATAGTGCAGTAAAATTAGAAATTACTACCAAAACTAAAATTTAATATAACCACTTGTAAATTTCATGACACTTTTCAAAGAGAAACCAAACGTCTTACATTTGATGGAATTGAGTCTGGTACATAGCCAAAGCTTTGTAGTAAGGCCAGTGTTGGAATCAGAGGGAAATTCACAGCTGTAATGTAATGTAACTAGTATTGCACCAGAGAGAAGGAAAACTAGTGAGATATTCAGATTATCCAGAAAAGCAAAACGTAAAGAGGAAAGGGTCAATGACAGCCTTTAAAAATAACTACTATATGGGGCTGGGGAGGTGGCTCAGTGGGTAAGAGCACTGCCTGCTCTTGCAGAGGACCTGGTTCAGTTCCCAGCACCCATATGGTGACTAACAACCATCTGTAACTCCAGTTCCAGGAGATCCAACACCCTCTGACCTCCACTGGCATTGCATGACAGAAGTATGCTTAAATATATGCAGGCAATACACTCATACACATAAAAAATAAAAAAGGTTTAAATAACTGATATATAAACAAAAACACTAGAAATTTTATAAGTCCATGCATTAGTGCTTTGAAAAGACTACTATAGTGAGCATATCTTCAATAAAACACAAGGAAAGAAAAGCAAATACAGGAACAACTTCAGATAAGGAACAACCTATTAAAAACTATGATATGGGACTAGTAAGACGGCTCAGTGGGTAAAGGCGCTTGCTGCAGGCCTGACAACCTGATTTTGATCCCTAGGACCCATGTGGTGAAAGGAGACTTGGACCCCCTCAGTGATGGTCTGTGACCTGGGAGATGTAAGCCCAATAAACCCCTTGTATTTTATTACAGCAATGGAGAAACAAACTAGGACACTAAGCTTACAAACTTCAATAGAATGCATAGGGATTCTGGAACAAGTAGACTATCTGAATAAAGTGACAGACACTGAAAAAACTGTCAAACGGCACTTTCTATAGCAAGTTCCTACCAAACTTTCAAGGACCAAATGGCTCCTTGCTTTGCCGACCCATTACAAGTTATAGAACAAGCTGGAAAACCTGATTTAGTGAAGCCAGCATAACCCCAGCACCACAGTCTGACCTGTCAGGACTGTTCTTGCAAACCTAAGCCAAGATTGATTTATACAAGATTAATAAGAGGTCTGAACAAAATATTATCAAAGTTGGTTTTCAGTGTATTAAAATGCCAGTGTACCGTGAACAAAAAGAGGGGTTTCTTTTAGGTTTGCAAGGACAGTTCAGCAC